TTTTTTTTTTTTTAAACGCACACTCCCCCATCAGTGTTAGTGGTGCTGGTAAGAGCAGACACCACTAACACCTGTGGGGAGGCTCCATCTATTGGTGGGGAGCATCAGCTGCTGGAAAACGGGTCCAACGTCCCTTACACAGAAAAGTGAGAATGTTCGAGAACAGTGAGAACAGTGACCGTGGCCCCTGCCAGTTGAATATTTAGCATAGGAGAGTTCCCTAGAACTATAGCTTCAAACTTGACTTGTCACAGTTAACCTTCTTCGGAACCCTTCCTCCAACTCCGAGTTACCATATAAATAGTTGACCAAGTTATCCTATACCCCTTCACTTCGCCGTTTTTCGTTCCGATGTTCTTCACTCTATTTTTCAATTTGGAACAGTCACGTTCGGGATAACTTGTCTTCGTCTCACTTTCTCCCCGCCCCCTATCATCTTTTGCGTCAGTCATGTCAATCTCTAATCTTCTTCTTCTCCTCCTCCTCCTTCAGCTCGTCCTTCCTCATGGTCCTTTAGTGCATTAGGAACAACCCCTTCTGGGGCTGTAGAGTGCGCAATGAATACTCTGTCTGTAGTCTGTCTCTTATACACATCTAGATGTGTATAAGAGACAGCTTCTACTGTTACTGTTTGGTATCTTCAATCAAAGTGCATGTCATTTGACACACTTTTATCCACGGAGTAACCGGTGTAGGGATTATACTACCACTGCGTGGCTTCGATAGTGCGTTATGGCTACCAACAATAACTTTGTCAGGAGTTGTTACAACTGCGGCCAAACAGGCCATCTCCAGTGTTTCTGTCGCTAATCCAAACTGCATGTCGCTAATCCAAACTCCGCTATCGTTCCCGTTAATCAACCTCTTCTCACTTTACCCAATAATTCCTTCTCTAACACTCAGTACAATCGCGGTGGGTGGGCTGGTCCTAGTAACACTCGTCGGATTGAGACGTTGGAAGAAACTGTGGCGAAATTGAAGGTCCGCCACAATGCAGATGAAGAACGTGAGAAGAAGAAGGCAGAGGAAGATGAGAAGAAAGAACGGAGAAGGCAGGGCAGGAGAGACGCCTCCAGGAGAAGAAGGATCGTGAGGACCACTATAAGCAGATTGGGGATCTCATCAACGCTAGGTTGGGTGCTGCCGAAGATGCAAAGAACTCAAAGAAGAGTGATTCCGGTGAGGTTGACCGGCTTCGCTATGAGGTGGAGAATTTGAAGAAGTTGCACTCTGCTGCTGTACATACATCCTTGGCTACGGTCAACAATCACGATGAAGCAGTCAGGCTGCAACGAGAGTACGATGAGGCCAAGCGGCAGGCACAGGAAGCCAGCGAACGACGGATCTCTGCATTGGAGGATCAAGTACACACTCTAAAGAAGATTACGGAAGAAGCAGTCAGTGAAGCTGAAGGTTGGAAGATGGAAGCTCAGCGGCCGGGCAACAAACGGGGGTGCATTGCGATCGGGGCTACCCCCAGCCCGCAAGTTCGAACTCGATCTCGAGTTGCTCCCGCCGCTACACCTGTTACCGCTCGAAGGAGGAATGCTGATGACTATAGTGATCTTGTCACGCGACACATGGAGGAAGTCAAGATTCTGAAGGAGATGCGAATCAAGGAATTCAACCGGAGAAGAGAAGCTGAACAAGAGGCTGAGAGAATCAAGGAAGACAAAGACAGAGAAATCGAACGATTGAAAGTAGCACTCAGCAGAGTGCAGGTTGCATCATTGGAGAAGTTGAAGGCTTCGCGAATGAAGGCACTGGAGAAACACATCAAGACAGGTGGGACAGATCTGAGACATCGACTCAAAGCAGCTGTGTGTGAGGGTGCCCAATGTTCCGATAAGGGGAAGGCCAAAGCTGCGGTGGCTGACGAGGTCGGCATTGCCAATGAACGAGAGATGTTCCTAAAAGGAGCAAGGAAGGACTTAAAAAATCTCAAGAAGGACGCCATCCAGAAGATTTGCGAGAAAGAAGGGGTTTCGTACACAGTTCTGGACGAAACGAGAGAAGCGATTGCGCAGTTACGTACGAGGTTGGCCTACGATGAGCCTCCACCTGGAAAGGAGAAAGAAGTCGTGATTGAAGTGTTGCCCGACAATTCGGACGGCAACAGCGCTGACTTAGGTAAGGCGGACGAGGCAGATGAATCTACTTCTTAGGGTCTGGCCCGAACGCGGCGCGACTATGGGATACAGTAAAACACTGTTCTAGCATTCGTAATCTTTCTACTGAACGTTTGAGGAGTCGGTTTATTAACACCCTTCTGTGCTTATCGGTTATTGCTTTGACTTTTGGTGGTCAGATACCCTGGGCCAGTAAATTTTCTCCATGTTTTTCCGCTCTTGTGTCTCGTGGTTTCGATTTTGATCGTTGTGATGGACCATTAGTTTATGCTTTAGTCTCTCCCTGGTGCCGACACACTTATATTGGCAGTACTACTAGAGATCTGCATACTAAATGGAGTGAGCACGTCTATAGAACATGTAACCCGTCCCTGGTCAGTAACGGTGACCGTAATGAACGACTGTATCGCTGGCTCAGGCGCTGTGGTGTACATAGGTATGTGGCTGTCGCTATTTGTGTCACGTAAGTAGAAGATGTTCTTGGACTCGAGAAGTTTTTTATTAGATATTTTGGTTCATCATTGAATGTGCGGGATAAACAGTGCAAGTCAAAACGACATCGTAAGGGTCTCCGTTAACGGCTCAGGTTGAAGAAGAAGTCGTCTCTGGCTTGTGAAAACAGGACTTTCAAACCCTTTATTGAATTTCATTCTAACATTGGTATCACTTTTGTCAGTCTACTCCGTATCTTCGATCACTGTAAGGAGTCGGGCACTACCACTTGTACTGTCGTTTGCAAGGGAGGTGCAGGGTTTTCTGACAAATGGGATGTTGTAAAAAGGTTGTATAGGGCATCCACTGTTTCCTGCGTTTTTGGTAAAGGACAACTGAGGAAGAACCGTAATTGGATTGAAAGCGGTATTGTTATTACCTTTGAAAGTATCGTGTCGTTTCTCCGACGCTCTTTAGCTTACAAAGATCCTCTTGCTTTACTGTTGAGTCAACCCTCTTCTCGTAAGGAGCTTTATTCCTGGGATTTCGATAAGCTTGTAACTGCTTTCTCTGCAATTCGTATCTTTCATGAAAAACGTACACGCTGCAGACTACGATGCATTCTGTCATGCGTTATTTCTACCCGTTATGATGTCCAAGTGAGACAACGACTGGTGATTCGTCTTGTATTTGACCCTACTTATAGCAAACCTCTGGTCAGACGTCTGTGTATTCGACTCATTGGGAATCTGGGAATCCCGACTGTCTGGAAAGATTTGTTGGTCCGACGACTTCGGATTGTTTGGTGTCGTAACCGTACTGTTGGTGACTATATTCACAACTTTAGGACCTTCTCGCGAACCTCCGAAGTAGTATGTGAGTGTGATGACGCTGACTCTCGCTTGCCACGGGTCAATGGTCACGTAGTGTGTAGGGTGAACGATTTTGACTTTTTTCCGCTCTGGCTAAAAAACTCAAAAAATATTATACGACCCTCTTCCGAAAGTAGTTTGTGTAGCTTACGTAAACAAATCCTCTCCTCTTTTCATTCTGTGAAATCCCTCCCAGCACTGGCACGGGAAGCTCTGACGAAGAACGATCTTCTCTCTTGTTTTAACTCCGGTGATGGATCTTCTCTCTCCTCGACGACATCTGAAAGAATTACCTCTCTTCGCTCCTCTTTCGTTTCCTCTTCTACTTCCACCTCACTTTCATGCATTTCCAATCTCCCTCGGGATCTCCGCGAATGCTCTGTCGATTGTCTGGAGGCTCTTATTCCTGTTTTTTTCAAAGGCTTGGTCTGTGTCCCGATTGACCATAATGTCGGGGATACGTTAGTATGTTGCCCCACAGTCTATCATGATGGCATGAGTAAATTATTTCTAAATAACCCCTCCTTCGTTAAAAAGACTCAGAATGAAATCGACATTATTGACGGTTGTAGGACATATTATTTTCACGAACGACTGGAACGAGTTGCAAAATGGAATCCGCGCGGTACGTTGGGACGGGCTTATTGCATCCCCAAACACAAGGACATTACGCGATGGCGACCTATCTGCCCCTCCTTCTCGGAGAATGCGGCTACCGGTGGGAGAAAGATCTCGAAGGCTGCCAATCGGCTGCTGTGGCAATTACCTGAGGACTGTCACTTCAACCTCAAGAAAACTACTCACTTAATTCAGCGAATCGTGTCGATTAACAAATGCATGAGGAAGGATGAGTTTTTGGTGGGGGCTTCGTTTGACGTTAAAAAAATGTTCTCTAATCTTCCCCACGCTTCTATTCTCCATGCTTTGGATTGGGCCATTGACTTTTTGAGTCATGAAGGTTACCATGCTGTTTCTGTCCGACTGCGAGGAAAGGACGCCAAGTTGGTAAAAGGTGCTGGGGAGGAAGGATGAAGTTTAATTAATTTTTCGCAGATTCGACACTACATCAAATACGAGCTTGAGCATACCTATGTGATGGCAGGAGGCTTGGTGCTTCAACAAATTGTGGGCATTCCCATGGGCAAGTCCTCTAGTCATGCTTTAGCCTGTCTTCTATGTGCCTTTAATGAGTTCATGTTTCTATTCTCTCTGGGGAATCAGCGAAAGTTGTTCAAAGGATTTTGTCTGATAGACGATGTTTCTGTTTTTGTGGTATGCAAGAAAGGATGTGGCTCTCCCGAAGTATCTGCAGAACATTTGATCGAAGATTTCAAGGATGCTACGATTCCAACCTAACTTTGGAAAGAACCAGTGAGGGCTGCTGTTGGGAATTTTTGGGCTGTCGTCTAAAAACCCAAGGTGAAGGGTCAAATTTGGGATGTGCCGCGACTCACAAGAACCAATCCACTTGAATGGAACCACATGTCGTCTTCCAATCCATTCAACATTTCTCTTCTTTCTCCGATAAACTCAAAAAAATGGCGGTAATTGGGTCATTCCTTCATCGAGCACGTACATTTACTACAATCTTCGGTATGAAACTACCTTTTCTCTTCTCCCTCAAAATCGAGCTTTGGAAGAAAGGATATCCTGATCACTACTTTGATAATGCCTTGGTTAGCTTTTCCAGTAAATTCCGAGGACTGTGGAGTAACTGGTTACTGGTATTGACGGGCTGGCCGTCCGTAGGATAAATTCAGGGGGACCACTGCTCGATTTAGAACATCCTTCAATTTTAGATTAGGTTTTGAACTTTGGACCTTTTCGTACTGCCTGGAAAGTAACGAGATCTGGTTTTCTTCCTTAAGCCCAGGCAAGGGGTGAGGTTTCTAACTCGGGCCTTTTTTGTTAATAATTTTTCTGCTCCGAAGGTGACGTGACACTGGGATTTGCTTTGTTCAAAGGTTTACTTGTGCGCTGGTGAAGTGGTGAGTATCCGGTATTCTGATTTTGTATTGTCTAACAGAGGTCGGGTTAGCTGATGGTGCAAGCAGACTTAGTTTCGATTTTTTCTGAGTATCAGATGGATGAACCTGGTTGACCTTTTAACATAGGAGAGTTCCCTAGAACTATAGCTTCAAACTTGACTTCTTACAGTTAACCTTCTTCGGAACCCTTCCTCCAACTCCGAGTTACCATATAAATAGTTGACCAAGTTATCCTATACCCCTTCACTTCGCCGTTTTTCATTCCGATGTTCTTCACTCTATTTTTTCAATTTGGAACAGTCGCGTTCGGGATAACTTGTCTTCGTCTCACTTTCTCCCCGCCCCCTATCATCTTTTGCGTCAGTCATGTCAATCTCTAATCTTCTTCTTCTCCTCCCACTTTGTCTGTATTGGTGATATTGTATCTACTTCTACTGTTACTGTTTGGTATCTTCAATTGAAGTGCATGTCATTTGACCCACACACCCTGCCAGCATTGATTCCCTTGCAACCCAGGAGATTGACTGAGTAGGTGTATGTAGTGTTTTATTGACATCTTTGCCTCTTCACCCTCAAAAGAAGGGCGCCAGCTAAAGCAGTGAAGGGCTGATACTATTTCCACTCGGTGGCATGGACTAAAGCCCTCTCTCAAGTCAGATCTTTGTGACCTAATCAGATCTGTATTTTCAGTGACATGGGATAGATCCTTAAACCCCTAAACCCCTAAACCCCTTCCTCTCCCTGGTATCAGATACCCTAACAGTATCGCTCCCCTTTCTTTGCTTTATTTCCTCAATCCCTCCCATACCATTCCAAACCTACCAAGCAGTTTGACGGGGGGGGGGGGGAAGGGATTGGGGAAATCTTCGTTGGGTCTCATCGGGATTGCTGCATCGATCTCAGTCCACTCATGAAAAAGGAGCCGGTAGTCTCTCACTAGATTTTTTCTCCCTTGTCCCTCCCCTAGGTTCCTTTGTCCCGTTTGACATTCCACCTTTCCAATCCTCCCCCCGTTGTTCCCCCCAACTTCCCCCAAGCCAGCTCAGGCTAAATTCCTTGATTTTTTGTTGGATGTCCTTTTGTGAATGTAGTGATTGGATATGAGCCTTAACCTTCTCCCACTTTGCTCTTATTTCCGTTTGGATCTGTTGCTGTATATTTTCCGTGAATTCTGGTCCTTCCAGTCTTGATCTTCCCATTTCGTATGTGCAGCGTCGTCACCAGTGGGCCCAGAGCACCGCCCTATGTCCTAGTTTGAACATATTGTTGGTGAAATCGTTTAGTTGGTCTTTAGGCTAGGTTTCACACAACAAGGCTTTCCAGTCCCACAACAAGGTTTTCTAGTTGGTCCCAAATTTTGTCCCACCTCCTCCACAACCACACCGCTCTCGGGCACTGAAGAAATATATGTTCAATTATTTCTGGCACTTTTATGGATGGGAACGCGTTCGTGCAAAGCCTACACCAGGACAGGGCGTACCCTCTCTGCTCCAGGTTCGTTCTATCGATCAGCCAATCATTTGTCGGTAGGTAGCGGTGCTCGATCTGCCACTGCAGTGAGGCAAATTTTGCTGGTTTTTCCTTGATCGTTCTAAACCACCTTGTGTCTCTTAGCTTGTCCTTGTCGATGTTTAAGTGGGGCTTAAATGGTTCATCCAGCGTCTCTCCACCCGGTCGTGAAGGTTTAATTTCGGCCTTAGGAGCCTGTAGGTCGATTTTACCGTTAGGCCATATAATGATTTAGTGAGTTTTTTGCCCTTTCCTGCTGGGGTTGTCCATGCCCATTCTATCGGGTCCA